GGGAACTTTAAGCTTTGGTGCACTCAACCCCCAAAATTCCCCCGCCCACCCAGCGGGGAATTTCGGGGAGTTAAAGTCCACAAGTCTTAAAGTTCCCAAGTTTGGACACCCCTGGCCTAGATGGAGGGCCGCTTTCCAAATCTCTGCAACTGTTTATCTTAGGATCTCGCCCTAATGGATGATTGATCTTACACTCTTCTTGCACAAATTTGTCTTAGACAATAGAATAGAGGCAAGGATTCCTGCTTGGATTCCTTCCTAAGGAGAAATTTCCTGACAGGGAGAACAATTAGCCAGTGGAACCACTTGCCTCCAGAGGTTGTGGGTGCTCCAACCCTGGAGGCTCTTAAGAAGAGACTGGATAGCCATTTGCCTGAAATGGTACAAGGTAGCCTGCTTGAGCAGGAGGTTGGACTACAAGAAGACCTCCAAGGTCGCTTCCAACTCTGATGATGTTCTAATCAGGAAGAGTGGATATATTTCAGGTCCCTTTGATTAAACGATGTCATTTCATGGTACCCAAGAAAAAGGCCTTCTCAGTTGGCACTCCTGGAATGACTTCCTGCTATATTGGTCCAATATTGCTCATATTTTGCTCATACCCCCAAAAAATCCCACCAACCACCTATTAAAAATCTGGTTGTTTTTCTTGAGAAAGGGAAGTTGTGGAGTGGTATGGTTTTGGTTCTTTGGGCGTTGAGTTTGCCTTCAAATTGGTTGTGTTTTCTTCTGACATACGTTGCTTTTCCTCCTTTCATTGCGAACCTTCCTAGAGTCATTGAGAAGTTGGGCAGCCTCAAAATCAAAATCAATCAATAGCAACCGTAGCCAGGCTAACTTTGATGCCATGCTGGCTCACTTAGGAATAAATCTTACCAGCTTCGAAATGAAAACAACTCCCTCTTTTAGGTCATTTCAATTGCTTGCAAGTAGATTAAGTTGGCAGCCTGCAACCCGTTATTCCAAAGCTCTGCTGCAAATTCCAGCAGGTAATCTTTGCTTCATCCCCTTCATCTTCACCTTCACCTCTTCCTCCCAGGTGGTTGGCACTCATCGCTGCTCCTTGTTGTTTTCGCGTTCTTCATCTTCTGACATTCCCCAGATCCGCTCAGAACTTATACATACTGATTTTTAGCCCCTGATGACTTTTCATCTCCAAACTGTTCCCAAATTTTTTTGGCAGGAACGACGATGCTTTTCGTGTAAAGAAGCATTTCCCCTCCCACAGGGGTCTGAAACTCGTGCCAAAAGAAGTTAACAATTTCTTTTTTTAAAAAATAGTTTGTATTAAACATTTTAATCTTTAAAAACAGAAAGAAAAACACAACAAGAAAAAAACAGAAAACAAAACGTACATAACAATATAAAGTACATTCATTCATTCATTCATTTATTTCATTTGTATGCTGCCCTTTTCACCCGAGGGGGACTCAGGGCGGCTCACAACTTGAACAAGGGAAAGGGGATACAGAAAGTTTGACAACAACACAAAACAATACATAATTTTAAAAAGCGCAACAATCATACCATTTGAGATAGGGGCAACGATTCTTTAGTAATTATACAGCCTTCTGTATCGGCTTTTCATGTTTAGCCTTTATAGTTCTCCATTCTCCATTGCCTTCCTATTGATTTTACCTTGTCCAATAATATAATAACAGTAGTATCGACACTTCTAATAATATTAATTATTTATATCACCATTATATTTACATTCTCTATTTTCTGTTTCTGTTGGCTTCTGTTTTCTAGTCACTTATAAATTCTATTCCATATTTTATAGAAATCCGATTCTTCTCTTTCTTTTACATCTCTGCACATCTGAGTTCTTTTCTAATTATTGTTTCATCTGCGGGTGTATTGATTCCCCCCCCCCCAGTTTTGCGCGAAAGCAATCCTGGCTGCAGAGAGTATGTGTATGATTATGTATTGAAATTGTTGATCCACTTTTTGGTCTAATAGTCCTAATAAGCATGCTTCTTGGTTTCAGTTCTATTTTTAACAATTTAAATTAACAATTTAAAGATGTTAACCATTTCTTGTATGCTTTTTTTGTTGTTGTTCCTTTCCAGGTATTGGCTGACAAACAAAGTCTACATCAAGCGCCCAACCACTGGTTTGTTGATGTACACCCTGGCAACGCGCTTCTGCAACCAGATTTACCTCTACGGTTTCTGGCCATTTCCCCAAGGTCCAGACCAAAGCCCCGTTAAGTACCACTACTATGACAGCCTGAAATACGGCTACATGTCCCAGACCAGTCCTCATACCATGCCTTTGGAATTCAAAGCCTTGAAGCTCCTGCACCTCCAAGGAGCCTTAAAACTCACCGTTGGGCCCTGCAACGGAACCACGTAAAAAAGAAACCACTTTCCTGGAGGCTGTGCCCCATGGGAGGATTGGGGAGGGGAGGCTGGGAGGAGTGGTAGATGGAGAGATGGGTTTTCTTGGTTTGGGAGATGAGCACAAGCATGGCTGCGGGGGGGGGCTCTGCGTTGAAGTGGAGCCAGCGTTTGGTGCCAGGGCCAGAAGACCTGTGCGGGAACCCTAAGAGAAGATGGCCTTTGCCCTTCCCAGGCCTGGAAGCCACTGTGACGTGTATGGGTACTTTAGTGTGACAACTCAGTGTTAGGCCAGATGTTGTGCGTGGTCTAGAATTGGTAGGTAGGGCTCGTTTGGCTAAGAATGCCGGGCGTTTCCCGGTTTGTGTTGTGTTCTTGGCTTAGTTGGATATAGGCGTTAGGGATTAATCCTTAGAACTGCTGTTTTTTGAGCAGGGAGGGAAACAGAGCAGAGGCACTGCGGGTCAGTTCTCAGAAAGCTACTGGCCAAGGAGAGGTTTAACCGTGCTGTATGGAACTTTTTTCAAGCTGGGCCACCAGCTGTGCCCATTCCGAAAAAGCACCGAGCAACAAAAGCCAACTCAGGATCCTCAGACACAAAGAGGACTGGAGTTTCTGACATTTCCACGGGAAGAGAAAATATCAGCCCATTCATCGGACGGACAGCGTGGCTCATCATTTTTTAATTTTTTAAATAAAAGATAAAAGACAGAAGTGGACTTAAAGGGGAGCATCGTTTTTTTGTTTCCTGCTGTGGTTGGCCTCTTCCTTGGTAGAGAAAGCCCCTTTCAGCGGTAACTAAATAAGCGATGCCCGTCAGGAGCATCCATCGACATGGCATCAAAAGAGACAAGACGCCATAATTCTGCAAACAAAAGGCCAGTTCCTTTTTTTTCTTTTAATATGCTCTGCCTTGGTGTGCCGTGAAGGAAAGAATTGACATTTGGGGTTTTCGATTTGTAAAAGCAAATTCGCCGGCTGGATCTTTTCTTTTTCTTTTTGTTCCAACTGTTTTATTGTGCTTTAGCAGATTTGTTAATAAACCCAGTTTTAAGTCCTTGTAGCCATCCGTGCCTTCGTTATTTGAGGCCCAACCTCCACAAACAGCAGATGAGAAATTGGTCTGAAGTTGGAATTGGTACCCCAGCTGGTGACAAATTCCTTGTGTGTTTTAATCACACTTGGCCAGTTCAATTCATCCCTGCTCAGAAAGCTTGCAGACCTAAAAGAATATTTTACACACTGTGCAGGAGGGAAGTGATTCTTAACCAAACGCAGCAAATAGGGAAGTTTAATCCATCTTTAATGATAGATTGATGGATTAATATCTAAGGGAATGCCAATATCTCAGGGGCTGCCACAAAGAAGAGGGAGTCAAACTATTCTCCAAAGCACCTGAGGGCAGAACTAGAACCAATGGATGGAAACTAATCAAGGAGAAACTTAGAACTAAGGAGAAATTTCCTGACAATTGGAACCATTCCATGTCAGTGGAATGCCTTGCCTCCAGAAGTTGTGGATGCTCCAACACTGGAGGTTTTTAAGAAGAGACTAGACAACCACTTGTCTAAAATGGCACAGGGTCTCCTGCCTGAGCAGGCAGTTGTGCTAAAAGACCTCCAAGGTCCACTCCAACTCTGTTATTCTGTTATCCATCCCTATCTTCAGTTCCTCTCCATTTTCCAGAAAACTGACACAGAGCATTTAACATGGTTGGTCACAATTATGATTGTTAAGCAAGAACAAGCTATATTACAAAGCCCAATTTACTGGTGTTTTGGTAACATACACTTTACTTCTTTCCATGGCAAAGTAAAAAATCTGTGCCCTTGCAAATGTGTTTGGACCACATTACCTCTCATCCTTGGTCCTTGATTATGTTGGCTGGGACTGATGGAATTGGAGTCCAATGATATTGCAGTGCTAGAGGGAAGAGTGATACATTCTTCAGTTCTCATGGTGGATGAAGGACCATGAGCTAAAGGGTTGAGTAGAATAAGGCATTTCAAAAGGTGACATCATGGACAGATGAACATATGAAGGCAACAGGATCAAACTTCCTTATTGTCTTCAACTGAAAAAAGCTTTGCAAGGCATAAGCTTGTTATTTTCTCTTGAACAAGGATGAACAAGAAGTGATGATTCTAATCTTTCTTTTTGAATTCATATTTCTGAATGATTCTTCTTGTTCATATTTCCAACATAAATCTAAAGTGCCTGCATACATTTTGGATAACTTTTCTGATGTCATAAAGCAATGGAAAGGGACATGGTGGCTCAGTGGCTAAGATGCTGAGCTTGTCGATCAGAAAAGATCGGCAGTTTGGCAGTTTGAATCCCTAGCACTGAATAACGGAGTGAGCGCCCATTACTTGTCCCAGCTTCTGCCAACCTAGCAGTTCGAAAGCATGTAAAAATGCAAGTAGAAAAATAGGGACCAACTTTGGTAGGAAGATAACAGTGTTCCGTGCGTCTTTAGTGTTTAGTCATGCCGGCCGCATGACCACGGAGAGGTCTTGGGACAGCGCTGGCTCTTCGGCTTTGAAATGGAGATGAACACCGCCCCCTAGAGTCGGGAATGACTCGCACATATCTGCAAGGGGAACCTTTACCTTTACCTTTAAATCAATAGTACAGGTTAAAAAAATCCTTAAGAGTATAATATAAGGTAAAATTCAATTATAGCAATCACACAATTTTTTTTATCAAGTGCAGGAAATCAGGAGGCAAGGCAGTTGAAATTAATATAGGTTTATGGCATGCTAACCCTCTCTACAAGAATCTGAACTTCTAATGGTCAAAGCAAGTTGGTGGCTGGATAGCAGCTCTCATATCTTCCAGCCCAATCACCAAATACTTGTCAAGTGCAGGAAATCAGGAGGCAAGGCAGTTGAAATTAATATAGGTTTATGGCATGCTAACCCTCTCTACAAGAATCTGAACTTCTAATGGTCAAAGCAAGTTGGTGATAGATAAGAGTCACTGGCTTCAAGATGGCCTGGATCGCTTGTGAGTGCGAAAGGACTCGAGACCGATGATGTGCTTGACTCCTCCCTCGGGCTCAGCCTGTTCCTCTCCAATGATTCCATCTAAATGTTCTAACCAACATTTTTAGTCCCCTTCACATTTGTACACAATTCTATTTCAGATTCTGCCTTACGTAGTTCATTATCATGAATTCTTTTATCTACTTTAAATCTTATAAGTAAGAAAACCACCGACAACTATATCCCTCTGCCATCAGTTGTTTTCTTGATAATGCTTTATATTTCCCTTGGGTCTTCTGTAGCTTTTCCTGGTGTGATGAATCTTCCTGAAAGAAAAAGATGGATGAGATGCTAAGTTTCATCTTTAGCGATATAGATTTTTATGGGCTTTATCTCCCCAAAGAGTGGAATGGAGAAGATATACATCGAATCTCCTTCCTAAGCCCCCAAAATGACATTCCCAGTGCAAGAATAATGTCTTGATTTAGAAAAGGCTACAGAGCTTGAATTTGTTGTGAATGGTTGAAGGGCTTCCTAATCTTGGCTAATAGATGCCTTTCTAACCATCTGTTAGGGATATCTCTGTCTGATGCAGCTGTGTGCTCTCATCCAAAACCCATAGCTGAGATTGTCTTTGGATTGTTTTCTGATCCAGAGTAGACGTTTTCACTCTTTTCCTGACACAAACCTTGTTATTTGCATGATTAATTCAACCTTGATGAAAACAGAACCGGGTGCCAGCTAGCCAGATCTATTTGGCTTATTCTCTATCTTTCCTCAGACACTTTGGTTTGTTCTGTGTGACCAACGTGACCCTCAGGAGGGAAAACAACAGTGCCCAGATCACTAAGGAAAAGCCATAACATCAAGAGGACTTTGGAAGGGGCCATTGCAACCATGGCCATTTACAGGTTGGTGGACTTCAAATCCCAGAAGAGCACTAGCACTTAGACTTATATATCACTCCACAGTGCTTTACAGCCCTCTCTAAGCAGTTTACAGAGTCAGCCTATTGTCCATAACTTTCTGGGTCCTTGTTTTAATCAACTTGGAAGGATGGATGGTTGAATCAACCTTGAGTCCCATCAGGATCAAACTGCTGGCAATTGGCAGAGTCAGCCTGCAATACTACATTCTAACCACTGCACCACTATGGCTTCCTTCCTTTGCATTTCCATTCCTTTCTTCTCATCTTCCTTCCTTCCTTCCTTCCTGCCTGCCTGCCTGCCTGCCTGCCTGCCTGTCTTTCTTTTCAACCAATAGCACTTAGACTTATGTACCGCTTCACAGTGCTTTACAGCCCTCTCTAAGCGGTTTACAGAGTCCGCCTCTTGCCCCCAACAGTCTGGGTTCTCATTTCATTGACCTCAGAAGGATAGAAGGCTGAGTCTGGTTAAATTTGAACTGCCAAATTGCAGTCAGCTGGCAATCAGCAGAAGTAGCCTGCAGTGCTGTACTCTAACCACTGTGCCACTAAGGTTTATAAGTAATCGAATGCAGCCACCAGCACAGCCATTGATGAAATTTTGGGAGTTGGAGTCTACAAAACTGGACACTGCCAGGTTTGGGAAACACTGCTCTAGAAACATCTGCCTGTGAGAATGATTCTGGTCTATGTCAATACGCTCTACATGGGGCAGCCCTTGAAGAGCATTCGGAGACTTCAGCTCGTCCAGAATGCAGCCGCGCAAGCAATCGTGGGTACACCTCGGTACACCCATGTTACACCTATCCTCCGTGAGCTGCACTGGTTACCGATTGGTCTCC